TGTCTGTCAAACTGTTTTATCCAGTTAAAATGGAATCGTACTCATCAACAATTATTAAGTTTCTAGATTCGTACGTTATACTACAGATATTGCTTATACGCCCAACAACATTTACTACAACAAATATTTGTTTACTTTGTAAATATAAAAAAATATATATATATATAAAATATATATAAAAACTTATAAGCACAGCAAACATTTTTGTTACTCAAAATATGTCATTTGACAGTTTAAGAAATATGGTTTTAAATATTAAGTTTATAAAATCCTTGATAAGCTGAAAACTTGTTCAATTACGCGAAAAATCACTATAGAAGTATACGCAAAACCCCATGAAATATATAATAATATTTCATACTCAACAACTACACACATGAACATTAGGTCACCATCATGATAAGTCAAGTGTTTTTATGACGATGATTATCTCATAATAATAACAAATCCTATTGGTCTTGTGTCGATATATCAATCTGTCAATGTCAGTTACCAAGATTATTTCCCTGTGATTAATGATGTGTCAAATCATCTGAGCCAGAGGCAGCTAGCTTGCTGTCAATGAACCAGATGATTTAATTATCAGCTGTTGTTACAGCTGTTTCTTACAAAACATCTCGTACATGATTACGGTCTCATTGTAATTTAGAAACTTGAAAATTGACAAAAAAAGACACTAAAGTCTATTAACCTGTCACATGTTCCCAAGTCATAAAAAGTATGTAACAAAAATAAATCATCCAAGTTTTGATTGAAACGAATTTAGTCTATCTGTAAGAATTTACAATGAGGTCCAAAGTTTACCTCAATAAAGAATGACCAATAATGAATGAATATGTTTCATTCATTCAAAAAATTGATGGACACCTGTTAGTACTTATCATGTTCATGTACATTTAATTTCAATTTTGCACATGGTCGTAAAAAGTGTTAATAAGTGGATAAATTAAAGATCCATTTCAAGAAAGAATTCCCAATTTCCAATAATTCCATCATTATATTACTATTCCGATGTTCGGACTGAACTATTTTCAAATATGGAATCAAGCTATTAGTGAGCTGTCTTGTATATGTTTGTCACTAAGATAAACAGCTGTTTCCTACCATGACCACTTTTACAAAAATATAAATTAAAAACAGCTGGGTAAATTTCTCGAACTGAACTGGACACCGGATTCATAGGGAAGCACTGTAACCAGTGCAATTTCCATTCATAGCTCCTATTCCAACAGTGAACTCCCTGATGGTCCGTAAACTGTATGGGATCTAAGGTCAGTCTAAGGTCCGTAAACGGCCAAACTGTGTCAGTGGGATCGAATGCGCCGATCGTGGGACTAGACTGAAGACAGGCTGTGATTACCTGGACCCACAGCTCTGGGCAATGATTACGGGACAATGCCGTGACCATCCATGTTTGATTCTAACGGAGAGCAACATGTCATTTCTTCCTCTTTCATTAGGCTCATTACGTCTTGCAAATTCCAACTTTTGACTTTGTGATTTGCCGATGCAATGAGTTTTGGAGATTTATTAGACAATGATCAATGCTTTTCATCATCAGGTTGGAAAATTGTCAATTGCCGTGCGAAAAGTAACTTTTGCCGTTGCGCTGAAAAGGTTTCGGGTTGTAAAACTGTTTGTTGAGGTTTTGTTCACTAGAAAATTGCAAATTGTATTTATAATCCTCCGTTGCCGTGAGTTTTTGAATTTTGACTAAGAATTGGGGACTTTATCATCTGGTTGCAGGATTACACTCTACATTACTTCGGGCAACGTCTAACATTTGTTGTCATATATCGTATGCTCAAGTCAAGGGGTTTGTATGTTTGATTGTTTGATACTAATTAACATGTGTATGATCAGCTTGGGGAATCACTCATTGCTTTTTTTCTAATTATAACTGTTAACTTTGTGGCTTGCCGATGCATTAAGTTTTTGTGATACATTCTAGACAAAGATTGAGATTTTTGGGATATGGTTGAAGAATTTCTTAATATGTCTTGTGAGTCGCAATCTTTGACTGTTATTTGGCAACTTCATGAGTTTTTGACAATTTTTTGATAAATATTGAGTATTTCTATGATCTGGTTGAGTTAAGTTCTGAAGTATTCATTTAAAAATATATGTTTTTTCTCTAAAGTATTAGGATGAAATATTGATTGCCTTGTGTTGACACGATACCTTACTCAAGGAAATATTTCACCTAATCATTTTAGGCCAACTCATTAGTCATTGTAAGTATGTAAATATCTCTTTCGTGACTGCATGCTTCCTTTATGGACTATCAGCTTAGACTAAAACCTTATTGATAAACTATTGGATTACAGGAGAGTTTCACACGAGTCGGGTCGTTCTCATGCCAGCTTCTGATAAATGATCAAGAAAAATGTGCGGGATCACAACCTTGGGGTAGTCCTTTGCCACTCAGCTGTTAGATGTATTAATCACGTCATCAATGACGTCACCCCCACACACCCCTCCCCCCACTCCCCCTCTGCTAAGTCTACTTCTCCCCTAGGCACCAGATCAGATGATTCACTCTCTTTCTCCAATAAAAGCAACCCTTCCCAGTCTGTTGATCAGACTTGTTTACACCAGACAATTAACTTTTGTTTCGTTATTCAATTGTTTGTTTTGAACAAACATATTACACTTTTATTTGTTGTTTTTTATTGTGTTGTTGGATTTCTTTGATTTGGGTGGATGAATAGTTTATGCCATCATAACCTTTTAGGGTGGAATTTTCTCAGGGGTTGCTGTCGTTGCTGAGAGAATTCTATAAAATCTATTCTTCTCAGTCACTCTAAAATTTCAGTCTGTGAGTTACAAGTCTAGTCATAAAGATTATCCATAAAATATGGGGAATTGTATAAAAAAATGCCGTTTAACCATGACATCTGATACAAAAATTGTGGTTATAATGGTTATAATGATCGTTTCCAATCGATGGTTGTACAGTATCATAACGTTGGTAGAATAAGATTATGAAATAAACGGATGAACGTAAAAGAAAACGATATAAAGAGTGGTAACACAAATCCAATTCTATTGAAGTTCAAATCGAATGCGGATCTACAAAGCTTAAAGGGGAAGTATTGACCTTGCCCCAAATGTGATTGGTTTGCCCCAAAATCGATGACCCCAAGGGGCTCAAAGGGGCTGAGGGGCTCTCGGCCCTTTTCTTATTATTTTTGTATCCGTTTTCTTTTTATGGAAAAACATATTCTTATATATATTTTTCTTTTTATGAAATTGTGTTGTTATAAGAGACGATGTTTTATTAGTATTAATGGATGTATTTGTTTAGGTTTCAATGTATATTAAGGGTTTTCATTTTTTTAGTTTAATTATAATTATCAATCATAAATAAGTTATAAATTATCATGATTCTACTTAGTTTTCAGCTGTTATACGGTTTTTAAAAAAGGAAAGTGGACAGGAGCACAAATGTATTATAACATTGTATTATTTGCTAGGTGTAAAATCACACCAAATCACCAATGGATTTTATCTAAGTGGTAATGCCGTAACCCCTAGGTCTAGCCTGATGTAATGTGAAAAACAATTCCGGGCTCGTGCCTAGCGTCCTAGGACAAAAAAGTTTAAGTGTCAAAAATATACATTTTTAGTTTTTGTGATCGGCAATAAATCACAAAAATGAATTTCATCCTTGATACGTCAATTCAAAAAAACGCTCCATAAAAAATAATCCGATCAACAATATATTTTTGTACGATTGAATCCTATAAATTTTATTATTTCTTTCACCTTTATAAAAGTTTACGTCTTCATATGAAAAAGCCTTCTTATCTTCTTTATCTTCTTATAAATTATTTTTAAATACGATTATTATTTTTAAATAAGGAATGGGTTATTACACTTTTCCCGTATTGTTACCTTTTAAATACCTCCCTTTGCTAATTATTATAAATTATTCCAAGTGGGTTAAGACAATTATTCTCTCAGTATTTCTGGAAACCACTCCCTTCACCTTTGATACACTAAAGCCCCTAGTTTTTAATTAATAAAAGCAACAAAGCTCAGGAAAGAGGGAGCGTTTCTTTAAGTCCAATTAGCAAATAATAAATTCAACATTTAACCTCGAAGAGACCGCTGCTTCCGTATTTATACCTGGGAACTTATTATGGTTCATTAAGTAAATGTCATTAAATTTAAATAATTTGAAGATACGTGTAATTAAGTTATATAATTTTCCTGTTAATCATAACATCTTCGCAAATAGTGATATGCTAAAAAAACAGTTCAAGCTATAGCAGAAAACCACCTACTCTGTCTATTATTTTATTATACTAATATTCTAATATTTTTATTAAATAAAATTTTTAAATTTCAGATACCGAGACAGTTGTTCTCACCTTGGAGATCTACATTTTATTCGATGGATGTATATACAAAAATTTAGGCTCGAAACCACCTGACTCTATAGCTGCAAGCCATTTGTGAGTAATTAAATTCGTCTCTAGTCTCCCAAACAGTATATATAATCATAAATATAGCTTAAATATTTTTCATTGCTCTAAAGTTCTATTACTGATGATTTAACAAGAAATAAATAATAGTGAACATAAATATTATTTATACGTTATCGTAGTAGACTAAAGAAAACTCTAAAATCTCTTCTGCTAACTATGGTGACCTATCAAAGAAGTTATTTGTTTAATCCATGAATTCTTAGAATAAATAAAACCCCATTCTCATCATGAACTCATCCCATCTAATTGGGCATTTCAAAAGTCTTAAAAAATACGATTCTTCAACCCCGTTCTCTAAAAATATCCATTTCGACCTTCTCCAATTTTCCACCAACCCTTGTAAAATTTTAAACCAGGAAATGTTTGAAAAACGACATTTTTCAGCACCATCTGTTTTTGGTAAAAGTGCACATGCATTGCTGAACAGGTAGCGGTAGAACTCCCCTCCCCCCAGGCGCACGCCCAACATCTCTGCTCAGTGTTCAGCTGTTCTTCAGTTGCGTTTTGGTGTCCGTAGCGAACGTACGGAGCGCTCACAGTGAACTGAACATTGGTGGACGTATTTACTGGTTGTGATTAAATATATCGAGGTGAGTTACGAAATTATATTTGCATTAACAAAAGAATTTTTTACATGCCTAAATTAAATATATACTGTATACATATACTATATTTTTTATAAATTTAATGCCATTTTCTAAATTAAGTATTTTGATCTATGCTTAACAGTTTATTTTATTATTTGAATTAATTTATATGCAATAAATAACATTAAACTTACAATTGCTATGTATTACCATTGAATAAAAATAAACACCACTTCATCTATGATATTACTGTATGCCTAACACATTTGTTTTATATTGGATGTGTTTTGTCAAGTAATACTTTATTTTTAATGTATACTATTTAATGTTATTATATAATTAAATTGAATTTATAGGCCTAACCAAAATTGGATTGTGTTGAAAATTTGTTGACAATTATTTACAGATTAAACTTGGATAGCTTTATTCATAGTGAATACGTTTTATTATTTAAATTATTGTGTTGAGCTTCAATAGTTATTTTATTTATATCGGTCCCATGCATTTAAACATACTTATACTGTATACTTATTCTATAAACTCAAAATTATGGTTATTGGTTCTACAATTAATCTTACATTTGCAAGACCCCTAAGCATTTGTTCAAGTTTTTTAAGTGTTTATACAATATCTCTTTATGAAACACACGTTTACTAAGTGGTTTATTATAAACAAACCACGAATTCCCAACACTCCTAAGTAAACATAAAGTTTGAAAAAATATAAAACTCAAAATAACCATTGGTTACTTTTAAACTGACAATTACCTACATGTCAATTATGGATACCCAGTACGGTGTAACGAAAATACAAAGTTTAATTCTGGTGATAGGTTATATTTTACCAGGTTTATCATTTACTAAAAATAGTTATTCTACACTCAAGATCATAATCCATGAATAAGATTTTTCCCGTAATATAGACCAGGTCTTTACTGCATAGTTTTCAATAATTTATTGTGATTGTACACTTTAAGCAAGCATGAAAGCTAGGTATCAAATAATGTGTTTTGTTTACAAAATTGTCATTATTTTTTATTGGGATGAAAAATCCTTGTTTTAGTCCAAATATTTTATCATGATAAAAAAAACTGTACAATACTCTTCCATTGTGCAAAAATATACAGTAATATATACCTGTACCCCTTACACTGTATGCATTTTCACAAAGGTAAACTCAAAGAGTACTCCATTGGAACTTTCCACATCTACCATTGCTCATAATAGTCTGGGGGGTCCATTGCGAAGAGTTGTGATAGGGCATTCATGGACTATATGATTCTCAATTAATTAAAAGTTTGTGCCACACATCATTTAGACCGATCGTCTCTCATTGTCCAGTATGGTAAATGTAGTATTAAACATATTCATATGAACCTCACGTGCTGGGCTATACTAAATGGACAGTCCTCTAAATTCAAAGCTCCATAACCCCTACTTGTGCTTCCCCTCGCTACATCAGAGGTTTTCTTGTTTTGACATATCATTTATATCTTTGCGGACCTTTGAATTTGACCAAAATACAAACGTGTTGAGATATTATTTATACTATTTATATGTACAATTTTTTTTTTGGGGGGGGGGCTTGAATTTCCCGTCATGCATTTTGGGATTGGTAAATATCACTTCATCCACCGCTTAAATAGTGGAACGTGTTATAACGTAAAAAGACATTCATGGGAAAGTGTTTGATCTTCAAAAGCAGTTTTTTTACCACATTAATTTCAGGTTTTAAACAATCCAATTTCAACATTTAGCATTTTTCTTTGTACAGTAGAATTTTAGCAGAAAAATAAATAATTAAAATACAAGCATCCATAAAACTCAAATTACTTCATAACTGTATGTTATAAGATTCTCATCTTAGTGCTGTACCATAATTTGATAGATTGAAACAACGGTCTTTTATAAACTGCACAGCGATATACAGTCATAACACGTATTGTCAAAACTCGAATCTTTCAATGATATAATATTCATCGATTTTAGTTCGTCTGAAAATTGTTTAGCAAACAAAATATTATTTACAACATTCATTTATATATCTTAGTTTTCAACTACAAAAAAATGTTGTCAGTAATCTTCGTACCAGCTTCACAATATAATTGTGAATATTCAAATCATTCACATAAAATTTACAAATAGTAAGTTGTCCTCCTAGACGTCTACTTAATCAGAAAAATCTAAATCTAGAATCTTATTTTATATAAGGATCTTAACTAATAAATTTATGCTACACCTGGTATTTTACTTTTGATAATATTAAAATACAATTTCTTAAATGATTTTTGAGTCTGTCTTATTTATTTTTTTTATTATTATGACATAAATTTATTTTTTTACTATTTCAAAGAGTAAAATAAACAACATTTGTACCAAGACTGTGAAGTCTTCAAGCGAAAGGGACGTATCCACTAGACCATGAGATTTAGCTTCCCTCGACTGAGACTTCTTTATAAATATTTCTCCTCAACAATCTTCGATTTATACGCCCAACGAAATACTCCTCGTCTTCTTTCAGTTGCACTCTACTGTTTGTTCGACGTTTATTTGGAATTTATCACAGCAGTATGGAATACTTTTGAATACTCAGTGAGTTGGAAGAATTATTTTTTTCTATATATCACTGCAACCCATAATTTCCCGAATCGTTCGAACTAAAGGGATGTTTTTTTATATAAGTGTATTATCAAAAACAGAAAACTTTATAAATTCAATTCAATGTAAGTTCGTCTTTGGCAAGTGCTTTCCTTCCTTTAAGCCACGTTTACTTCAGTTTCACTTCAAAGGGACTTGTACGAACTGAATTGAAACCTTTTGCGGCCCATTGAACTGAAATAGCAAAGGAAGAAGAAGAAGAAACATTACGTCAAAAAGAGAGTTTGTGAGTCTAGCTAAATGTTTTGAAGCTGGTACAAAGATTTTTTTCAGTAAAGCAGTTTGAAAAATATTATTATTCGTGTAAAATAACGGTTTAGTCAGTGTTTATAAACTCAGTTGAATTTCTATGAAATTATTATGATGGATTTTAGGTCTATAGATAAATTTTAAAACATCTAAATAAAATTTAATTGAACAATTTCAAATGTTAAGTACATTTAAACTTTGAAATACAGTAAAGTGAAATTAGAAGACCAGTTCAACAGTATTTTAGGATAACGAGCTTTTTATTGGTTAATAAATCAGATTTTATGTAAATAATTTCATAAAAAATCTGGTCACTTTAAGTTGGATTTTTAAAGCATTTATTTCATCTAGTTGGTAACAATTCCTTCAAATATTTAATGAGTTTTAGTTTTGGGCATAAGATCCTTAAACCACAATACTAAGCAAGAGTTTGTATTATTTTCCATTAAAATTTGTTAATTGATCAAAGAATAAGCTCGTTTACCAAATTAAATAAGTTGCTAAAAATATTTTTATCTGTTCATCACATGTTTCATAAATTTTTACAAGATTATTTTTTTATCAATCAATTTTAACATACAACAAATGAGTACGTTTTCAGCAATTTTTGCTCAAAATCAACAATTTTTCTACATTACGAAAAATATTTTTAGTAGCCTCACACTTTCGCACTTCCATTCCATCAACACGTCTCAAATATCTAAAGATGTCCCATTAAAGTCTATTTTAAAATGCATATCTCCTCACTCCCTTTTTCTGTTCCCTTGAACCATAAAGTAAATCGGCTTTATTTATATTTTCTGTGAAAGACTTCTTATCAAAGTATTAACCAAGGGAGTGTTGTGTAGGGGTGACGACGCGACATCCTGAAAGATAAGACGTTTTGTGGTCTCCTTAACGTCCCAATAGACACGCATACATTCTGCTCTATACAGCTATTTTATTGCCCAGTTGAAAACTGGCATATTTACTGCATATTACTGGGAAATTTTATTGCTGTTAGGGAAAATTACCCACTCATTCTCTGTGCTACCATATAGCATTCAACAATTTTAATTTTTGAATTTAAAAGATCTGCGCGTACCATGGTCAATTGATTTTTAAATTGTGTTGGTTATGGTCATATAATTTAAACATAAAGGGAGTGTTCCTATATACATAGTTTAAAAATGTTTGTATACTTTCTGTAATATACATTTATTTTCCTATGTATTATTTGCCCAGTTTTAAAGAAGTAATTGAGCCACTAAAAGAAGTGCTGTCAAATATTATTTTATTTTGCCATTTTGGCGTGTAAACGTGTATAATAACTGTGCAACCAAATCAGACTGAATGTACCTATTTACTATAATCAACTATTATCAAATCTACAGTCATAGATTGAAAAGTAAAAGAGAAAATAGATCTGTCTTACCCTCTAAAAGTCTCATTAAATTTATTTGGGTAAATACGTTTGACTAAAACTCATACAAAATTACTTTCAACATTTCATTTTTCACTGATAATGTATAAACTTGTTAGAATATATTTAACGATTAAGAAAATTAAGAATCTTCGAATTTTCAACTAAGTTCAAATCAACCAGCTACCCTCTACACAACGCACACTGGTGGAATCCACGCACTGGCTTTGACAAACTGGGAACAATTCACCAACCATGATAACAAACTCCCCACAATCAAGTGGATCTTCAATTAGGGTTGTATAGACTCTGGGGTGAACTACCCCAATGTATACACCTGGACTTTCACACCACTAATGATGTGTAAGGGCATGTGTAAGGGTTTGTAACAAAACCTACAACAGGGGCTGTTAGATGTGTGGTTACCATAGATTAAATACGCCCTTAAAGATTTCTCACCCTTATGAATCAGCTGAAGATGATTTTAAGACAATTTAGGTCCACCAACGAGACAATATTATATTTATTTCTGGTTTATTTACAAACTTTTGAATTATTACAACTAAATATAAAGAGCTATGCTTAAATTACTACATTTCAGTCACTGTAAGACGTACGCTGAAATAAAAAAGAGGTGACATGATCAAATTCTACATGCAGTTTTTTTTTCAATTAATGACGTTAGGGTACTCAAT